TACAGCCAGAAAAAATGAAAATTTTATAGTTAAAGAATCACAATAGTACTATCACGTACTCTAGTCCATTGCAGGTACCTATACGCAGACAAATATATATGTATATGTAAAAAAAATATTAATTTCAATTAGTTATTAGTAATCATACATTGTAAACGCAAAAAAGAGAGTAAAAATATTCCAAGGTATTAAATATATATTCACATTAAAATAAATTTTAAAAATAGACACCAGTGCTGGTAGAGAAAAAAAAAGGATATATGTATTTCGCAAAAAAGCCAACATGGATTTTAAACATTGTCTGTCTCCTTAAACGCTTGTACGCTGTTGCCATCATTAACCAAAATTCTTCCATATGTCGACCATGCATTTTTCATGCCATATTTCCTTCTTGCCGCCAGCAATAGTTGATGTTGCTTTGCTGTCAGGTCCTCGTTAATGTAAATGCCTGTACCCTTAAGATTTCTTCTGTTATTAAAAACTTCATTGCGTTTTAAGACTGATGTGAATGAAACTATTGTTACTCTTGATTTCCCAATTTCCATTTTACCCATTCTATAAACATTGTTAATTTGTTGCAAACAACATTACACCCTTACAGTATCATTGAGTAGGGTAAGCATTTTAGACACTAAGTTTTCGTCCGAACCATCTTCCAAACCAACAACTCTTAAAGAATTTTGTCTGATTTTATATTCGAGGTTATCCATTCTTCCTTCCATCTTTATTATAGACTGTCTATTGGACTGGGTCATACTTTCTATTGTATTAAGTTTTTCCATAATACTCCCAACACTGTTTTCTATTTTTTCAAATCTGTTACCTAAGTTTTCCAACTGATTCTCAATTCTTTGATTCAATTTTGGGACGAGCTTAGTTATTATCGTCTCTAGTTGGTTATCATCATGGGGATTGGATACTGACGCACTTCTAGTTGCTTTACTCATGTTGAATCCAAATGAAGATCTGGCAACCTCGGAATCTCGAATATATTAACGAAGCAAATATTCAACTAATGCAATCAAACCAGGTATTCAACTTTTTTCTTCCTTAGGCCTGTCAACTTTACCTTCTATTTCTATTCAACTTCCAAGGAACAAACATCAAAACAACCGTTAAAATGCCAACTAAACCGTGAGCTCGTACAAATCGCTGTTTATCTTGCCATAGCCAAGCTTATACTTCAAGTGTATCGATGGCGGGAACAAATCCGCACAAGCTAGTTTTATTTTGTTTAGTTTGGTGTCGAGAAGCACGTATAAAATTTGGTTAATTTTTCATTATTTGTCAATAACTCGATTTCCATCAACTTTAATGCAAAATATGTAGAAACCAAAATTAAAGAAGAGCAAAAACTCTATAAAAAATGTTGTATGAGGTTTTTTCGTGCGACTACCCAAAGTATCGAATTTTACGAAAACAAAATTAAAGTTTGATATAATGTATGTGTTCAATATATCCGGGGTTAACTGTACTTGTTTCCACACCACCTTGAGCGGCACCCCGAGACATAAAGCCTAAAGACTTGTTTGCTTCTGGTTGGCAGTAGCCTGCTGTCGCGGTCATAATGGAATGAATTTGCATTATGACCGCAATAACGGACTAAATTTTTATTGTTGCGCGACTGGTGGAAAATCAAGTTTAACCGCCTTATTTCTCAGGGAGCTGCCTTGAGGTAAAGTACCCGGCACGTTTTATTTTGAATGGTCTCCCTATTTCCAATAGGCCTAATTCACATGTCGTCAACTTAGATTTCTTTTGAGGTGGAAGGTTCATCAGAGTTCCTTCGTTTTTTTGATGTTACTGGCTGTTCAATATAATCTTCCTGAATGTCTTCCACATCTGTATCATATTCCGGATCTGGTTCATAAGGTGCAGAATATTCTTTTCGTTGATCTTTATCGAGAGGAAAATTGTCCTCGTACTCATCTTCGTCTAATTTTGCCATCTCCAAACTATTCGAACATGATTTGCGCTGACAAAGTGCACACACTACCGAGCAACGCAAACCTGCTTTGCGGCAACTACAAGATATATTACAAACTTTGGCACATTTACATGAAATCAGATTTAATAATTCTTGGGGAGCTGCATCTTGGGAAGTAGCAATGGGCAGCATCCCATTTTTTGAATTTTTCCATCCCCAATCCAGAGGTGATTTTTCATTCCTATACCATAGGTGTACCTGACTGTACGTACGGAAGGAGTGCAAGCGATCTGCGTCTTTGGTCGGTGGTAATGATGCGAGGTTTGGTAATTCTTTTTCTTTCTGTAAAACTTTAACGAATTTCATTTTTTTTGTCTATATAAAGCGGATGTGGTGTCGTAGTCACTAAATGCGTGGAGAAATGAAAAGTTGTCCATAACTGAAGCATCTAGATTCATATTATGGGGTGCATATGTTCTACTTTGCGACTTTCCCTTGCCTGGCTTTAGAAAATAAATAGATGACCGAGACCCATTTAAGGCAGTAAGAATTACAAGTAAATCGGTGTCTTCGTCGACTATAATTACCGTTTCATTGTGATTTGATTCTTCAATTGCAGTGTTGACCTCATCAACATCTTCATCAGTCTTGACTCGGAAGCCCTCGTTCGTCAAACGATTACATATCATTGATATTATTCGACATTTGTTCCTCTCATTTGACAAGAATTTTCGCTGAGACACTGTTGCCGTCATTTTTTCATCAAAATAAATTTCCGGTGATAAAGCAATTTTAATAATAGAGGAAAAAAAATTTGAGGAAATAATACCTGCTTATAATATATTTAGCGTGTTTAAACCGAGATAACTTGAAAACGGGTCGTCGCACGGAAAATGTGCATAGAACGTTTTTTATAGAGTTTTTCCTCTTCTTAAATTTTGGTTTGGTACATTTTTTGCACTAAAGTTGATATAAATCGAGCTATTGACAAATAATGAAAAATAAACCAAATTTTAGCCACTTTTTCCAAGATGGCGGCCAAATCCGGGCTTTGGTGGTGGTGCAAATTTAACACGTGGTTCCTTACACTAAACTAAACAAAATAAAATTTATTCTATGTCCGGCTTGTCCAGATTTGCTCCCGCCATAAGCTATTTTTTAATACTTGGCGACTGGCCTATAGGTCAAAATCAACTATTTCAACTCATATTTATACAGGGTGTCAAAAGGATATCTAACTTCGGCGGTTGATTCTACAGATAAAAATAAAACAAAAAGTGCCTATGAACATATGCCCTAAAATGTTTCCCGAAGAAGTTACAGCCCTCGAAAGCTATTTACGATATCACTGAAAAACCTATAACTACGATATCGCTGTAAAATCAACAGGAGAACTGTAAAATGAACCAATATTTAGACAGTTCAAAATTTGCTTGCGTTTTCCTATGTTTCCCACGACGATGCACCACCCGGTATACGTTTACGCTGTGAAGTAAATCCATTGTTATATTTGTTTTTTTTTTCTCATTAATTCATAAATGAAAAACTAGCTGATCAATTAATGTACGAATAGTTAGTACCAAGATGTAGTTATTCTAAATTAAATGTAGGTATATGTATTCCACAATTTATTTCGCACAATTTCACACTTCGCTTACTATTTCCTTAAAAGAATATAGGTAATACATTCGTAAATGAAGTTGTTTGTGTTTGTGCTTTGTTATTGTATTATTATTAATTTCTTAGAAGTATTTATGTAAGACTATATTTTTGTAATATGATTCAAAAGACAAACAAGTTTGCACTGACAAAAATGAAAAGAATTGAACAACAAAAAAATCATTTTCGGACTCCTGATGTATGACATTTTGAAACAACCACAGCATTATTATTATCAAAAAGAGCAAGTATAATATTTTATTTTAAAAATTAAAAAAATGTTGCTAAAATTGAAATAATTGTCATCTTCTTTTGACGTGCTAATCTTTCTCGTTGCTTTTCTGGAACTTGTGTAGGAAAGAAAACCAAATTGTTGTCTAAAAAGTGATGATAACGAATAATCTTTTTTAAGATATTCAGATATAAATTTGTATAGGGTGTCAAAAAAAATAGGGTATCGAACCTGGGTGGGTGATTCTACAGATAAAAATAAAACAAAAAGTTCCTATGAACGTCTAAGTCCTCGCGTACGACGTGTAGTGGCCCGGGTTAGAGGTGGGAATTTTAGTTCCTTGGGAGGAAATAGTTTTTTAGTTTTAGTTCCTCCAGAAGAATAGTTCCTTGAACTAGGTCTTTAGTTCACAATGACTAACATTGTTATCCCTGTTGTTTGCTAATGGGTTTCGTTGTCAGTCAGAACTATTCACAGTATGATCTGTTTAATTTTTATAATGCACGAAATATAACGAGACGTGTAATTGAGTATGTTAAAACCATATAGATAAGTTTTATCGCAGATAAAAAAAGTTGAAAAAGAAACTCAAATCAGAGTTTAAAAAACTATATCACAGATCAATTGGAGCAAATCATACGAAAATTTTACGAAAAATTGCCATCGTTACCTGCGATAAGTTTTATCGCAGATAAAAAAAGTTGAAAAAGAAACTCAAATCAGAGTTTAAAAAACTATATCACAGATCAATTGGAGCAAATAATACGAAAATTTTACGAAAAATTGCATTTTTCCTCGCTTCAAGCTTTGTGTTTTTGTCTAAAAATTCAGAATATCTACTTCGTTTTATAAAATTCCCATAAAGTATTTAAAGAACAAACTAAAAATCAAAAACAGTATCCATGACAATTTTCTATGGTAAATACGCCGACTCTGGCAATAGACAAGACCGAATCCGTCGTCGTCGCCTTGTATTATATCTCGGATCTGTCGACTGAATAGATTCCCGTCAACTAGTATTTTAATGAGTTCCTCTAGGTCCGGCTGTGTATAAATATGAGCTATATATAAATGATCTTAAATCGACTGACTGTCTAAGGAATAGGCTGTGGTAAAATCTTAATGTAACACTAAAGACTCCTACTAAATATATGTATTTTTATTGAAATATTACGGCAAAGACTACAAAATAGGTTATTCTAATAAATAAATAATACATAACTAAACATAATAATTCCTTTCTATAGAGAACATTTAATTAGCTTACTTTATACTACATTTGTGTTCTAAATTCATTTTTAAATATAAGAATGTACAAAATGTTTAAAAACATTCTCCATATTTTTCTTTCTCTAGAAATAAAAAGATGCACAACCTTATGGGCGATTTCGTGACACAATACCTGTCCGAGATGTAGTTGGCGTTACCATCAGCCTGTCCGAGAATTCCGAGATTTAGTTTAGCTCTGCGCCGCTGCGCGCTGATTCGTAGTAGCCGCTGCGCGTAGTTCTGCTTCCAGTCGACAGAGTGAGTGGTTGCCGGATACAGTGTTGCCAAAACTACCGATTAATCCGTAGATTTATGGATTTTCTATCATTAAACAATTTAATATAATACTATATGATTAAACAAAGGACGGTGCCAGAGTTGGTTTGGAAATGAAGGTCGCTGTTATTTGATATGTAAAATATTATAGTAAATGTCTATAATAGTCAATTCCAAGCCTACTAAACCACTTTTTTCGATCATACAACATATTCAGTACCTAAAAACGAATTTTTATTTTTGTTGTTTACCCTATGTTTAGCACGAATAAACTTTCAATACATAAACGCGGATTTTTCATCCAAAGATATTTTCGTCCAACGTATTACAGATATTACTCATTTTAATATGGCCACACTGTCGTTTTCAGGTCCACACTCCACACCGTCTTCGGAATGCTTTCGGAAAATAAGCGTTTTATGCGTTGACCGCAGAACGATTGGTGTCCCCACCGTACAGCACTTGAGACGTAGGGGGAAATCAAATCAGCCTTGTAACGAATTAGTCCATTAGGTTGCGTATCTTCCCAAGTCTATCAATCAACGCTAATACAATAAAATCATTTTACTTTTAAAAGTAAAACATCTAAAATATTTTTCCTAACATTTAATTCACAGCGGGGCACAATAGTATACAATGAGTATACCCTAGGGTGATTCAAACATGACGTCTTCTATCATTACAAAAAATGTAAATAAGGATACAGTTATGTGTAGTGGTATCTTATATTGTTATACAACTAACTTATAGTTAACTATTTCTTTGAAGATAATTTTTTTAAATCCTAATTGTGACAAAACTAAACCTCTTGGTTATAATAATTGAAATTAGAAATATATGTTTAAACAATTTATTATCTATTTTTTCTAACTCACGGACCAACTTAGGATATATATTTTTATTTTCTAGTATAGTCCAAGATGCCAAGTTTAAATCACCCTGTACATTACATTTTCTGATTATTACGTCCGAAGAAGAGTTTAATCAATTTACACTACTCTACTTCACTACATTTTTGTGTATTAAACGTTGAAAATCTTCTCGATAATTTCCTCAAACTAGAAGGCCTATTACTAAAACTCGGCTTAAAGCACAACATATACGACGAGTTTGGTGGTTCAAAGTCACATTCGTGACGTTTTAACTCCTCTTCATTCATGCCTTTCCCAGAACATATTCGTTTTTCTTCCGAACGATGCATCTCAACATCTATAAACTCTTCTTCGACATTATCAATACTGGTATCCCTTGACTGTACCTGAGTTCGTTTACTACTTCTAGAATACCAAACTTTTTGACGTTTTTTCATGGTGTCTTTTTTGGAAAAGAGTTTTAGGATTTGTTCTCTGAATTTTGGATGGGAAATAGCGTAGACGTATGGATCGATGGCACTGGCCGTTTTGCAAAATAAAGCTGGTATCATGGAGGATATTGGTGTTATCAGGTGTTTGTTACCAGATATACCTAAGAGAGATATTACTGAATATGGCGTCCATGAGAAGACCCAGAGAAATATCATAGCTAGGATGGTTAGGGCTAGTTTGATTTCTTGTTTTCTTCTGGTTTCTTCCCTTACATGTCTGAAAATTGCCAAATATAGGTAAAAGGTATAATATTTAAAATGTATTAAATTGTACGGAGTCATCAACAATGAACAATGAAATAGGATAATATCATTTCAATAATGTGGAAAACGTTCAAAATTGCCATAACATGGAAAAGTAATATTTACATAATCACAGCTAATCTTCATTCTGGCTTTCAAAACAAGGTTATGAATTGAACGTAGTTGGCGAAGTAACTTTTAACCATTACAAAACAATATGATAAGCTCATAAAAGTAGATTTTGCCTTTTAAATTTCCAAAAATCTGTAGAAGTTCTTACTGTTAATTTCTAATATATTTGATTGTATATTGGATATCTTCTAACAAATCTTTATTTGAAATAAACTTAGTTTATACCTTACAAGAATATAGAATGAGTTGGAGGTGATTAATTACGCGACCTTAAATGTCTATTGCGTCTCCCTTCTTGAGTTTTTTAACTCATCATATAGTCCATAACCCATCATATATAGTGATTTTCCTATTGTAGGAGGGATAGGGTATTTCTCATCCTCCTCTGACAACAGATGCTCTTTCTCCACGGAGTACCTATCTACCTCGCCCGAGGGTATACACCCTTTCATGGCTGGGGTTTGTCTCCGGCTGAGGTACCCGTGAGATGGAGGCTGGAGGATCTGTCTCCATTTTCTCCACCTCTTTAACTTGGTCTCTCCTTAGACCTGATACCGGTGTTGTCCCGAATCGATAATAGAGGATATATTCCTTTTTCTCTATTGCCTCCTTGGATTTGATCCAAGTCTGAGCCAACTCTTTGTTAGTTCCTATTGTGAGGACCTGACATGGCCCTCCTCCCTCGAATTGATGGCTCGCCAAGTCGATGTCCTTACATTGGACGGCTTTCCATCGTCGCTTTTTTTTCTTGCCGAAGCAGAGGTGAGAGGTTCTCGATCTCTCTCTTGCACTTTGATGGAGATGAGCCAGGCTGTTCCTTGGTTCTTTGGTTCTCTGCCCTTTTTCGAGAAGTGTTTTCGCTTTTGCTTCCTCTGCGGCAAATCCTTCGTCGAGTAGGTTGCGATTTCTCGGTAATCTGCTTTGCTGAGCTCTCAGCGGGTCTTCTAGTCTGCCTGGTTGACCCAGGCCTGGTAGAGGGAATGGTAGCAGCTTGTGCAGCCTGTTGGGTCTAGAAGTAGGCTCCCGACCCTTACTAGAGGAGATGGTGGCTTATGTGCCACTTGTGGAGAGCAATGTCTCGAGCAAATGTCATTTGCCTCTTCTGTAGTTCCCTTTGGGGTTAGGTTCGGATAGGGGTTGGTCCCTTGAAACTTGCAATGTTAATGTTTCCAGTGTAGGTAGGGAGTTTCCCTCCAGCTTCACTGCAAGGTTTAGTCGGCCCACTTCTACAGAGAGCTTTCTCATCTCTTTTTCTCATCAGCAAACGAGCTTTCTCTTTCTCTTCAAGCTTTCTCTTTCTCATCAGCAAACGAGATTTCTCATCTCGTTTTGATTAATCTGGCATTATTATGGAAAACGAATTTTGTCAAAAAACTAATCATATTATTTAATTTCTGGTTTATTTTCAGGCTAGTGATAATAGTTCGGATAATAGCCGATAAATATTCAAACTTCTTAAAATGATTGCCAACTTCATTCATTGTTGATCGCTCTATAGAATTTGCAATAAAACTATTTTACGTTGCTTTGTTGAAAATATTATAAATTTATTGAGGAAAAAGATTTTTGAATTCTATTCTAATAAGTAAACAAAATAAAGAGGTATAAGAGCAGGTAAGCCAATATATAAGAAAAAAAATATTGTCATGAAACTTGAATTACAAAGAGATTATTGTTTTAGAAAGCGACTTGAAAAATAGTAATCCCTGCAAGTTTGCTAATATACCCCTTTCTTATTCTTTTGATTCAATACTTCATTCTTACCTAAACGATTCTTTCTTAGTTGGTGACCCAAATGACTTTTGTACCACCACCTGCAGAATTTTTATGTAACTAAACGTGATCAAATGAAATGGTAAAACCCAAGCGGCGACGCAAAAGACGATAATGAAGATTTTTATAGCTGAGTTGTCAGTTAGGTAGTCGAAACTGCAACTGACTAAATATCCCTCGTATTGGTACTTGCCAAATCCTATATCGAAAAGTTGGATTGATGAAAAAACAGTAGCGTATATCCAAGATCCAATCTGAAAATGTCAAAACAAAACACTGTTAAACTATTAAGCTACCTAAATCTCGATTTTGTAGAGTAACTGTAACTGTCTCTAATTAAGAAACATAAATTTAGCTCAAGTTTCAAAATGTTATAAAAAATTCTGATCTTTCTAACTCAAACCAAAAAGTATTACCAATGCCTGACTCAAATTAGGTCCAAAAATTTACTTAAATCTTACATCAGTCATGTCAAAATTTTAAAGTTTTGAAAAATTGAATTCAAAGTGAAACATTTGGCTTAAAATATAAAATACACAAATCTACAAAATGAACTTTTTTATTTTAGAACAAACGTTTTCCTAACCATAACCATATTACTACGATCAACAAATGATTGAGGTGCGTCATTCTTGAAAGAACCAATACTAGAGACTATACCTGTTAAAGGGCGAAATAGAAAATATCAAGGTCATGTAGAATGTAGACTGTATACGTTTGACAAAAGGCAGTATCTGAGACAATTTTACAAAATTTTATGACACGAACGGTTGTCGTCTACCATTTACCCCAGATATCTGCATTCGCCGTTGTTTCTTAGCTTCAATCTACTGAAGTGCTCATTGAGGAGACAGTTTCTTACTTAAAAAACTAATTTACACAGCCTACTAGATTGTGTGGAAAAGTCCAGCACAGACATCCAGATGAAATTTGGTACTCGGCAAGTGCAAAATTAGTAGTATGGAGAAAGGTCGATAGGTCCAACAGGATGGTTATAAAGGGTGTCAAAAAATAGTGTATCTAACTTAGGTGGGTGATTCTGCAGAGAAAAAATACAACAAAAAGTTCCTATGAATTTATGCCCTAAAATGCTTCCCGAAGAAGTTACAGCCCTCGAAAAGGTAAAGAAAAATGCTATATTTTGTTTATTTTTAAGAACATTGGTAAACCGTTTTTCTAGAAATTTGGTAGTCTTACACACATTTTAATTAGTGATGGGAAAAACCGATTCAGTTCAATAATCGAGTACTCGAGTATCAAGCGATTGCAATAACCGAGTGATCACTCGAGCGAAATATCGCTCGTATTTAAAAATACGGTTTTTTGTCCGTCGCACGTTGTAAGTACTCGTTAACGCCAAGTCACGCCAAGTGCCAAGCAGTAAGCTGCCTGCGCAGGGCAAATATTCTTTCGATAATGAACGGCAAGTAATAAGCGGCGAGCGATTCGCTTGATCGCCTGATTAGTGATTTAGTTTATTTCGAAGCATTGTCGATATAGGTCGTAAAATTTTGTCTCTCAGATACGCAACGGATAAATATACCGGGTGCGTCTCAAAAGTGGATCATCCTTATAACTTTTTTATTTTTTCAGATAAAACAACGAGATTTGGTATGTTAGTACCGTATGATCGAGAAAAAACGGCGTCAACGATGGCTATGAAATGAAGATCGATGGTCATTTTATATGTAAATTTATATGGGAAATGTCATTGATCGTCATTTCCCAGCCAACTGGACGCCGTTTTTTTTCGATCATACGGTATATGACATAAATTAGGATTGATTGACATATTCAATTGTTTTCGGTCACTTCCGGTTTCACCGGAAATGACTGCAACTTTTGATTTTTAAATCGCACCCTCGGTATTTTTTTACTTTATTTGGTAGAAAATGACACTCTGAATAGAATGACATATCACATGTCAACTTATGATATTTTCGCATATGGTTTATTTGAAATTGTAACATGCGGTTCATAACGACAATTTGACTCGGAGTACCAAGTGGTATCAAATTATTCGTAAAAAAAATCTTTTTCGAAATATGCTAAAGATCCACCCTCGTTCCATTTGAAAAAAATTGAGATATGATCAAAAATACGATTTGGGCATCTTTTAACCGGCCAGGGCGAGACACTAAAAACATTTCAGATAGTTCAACAGACGATCAAATTTATTTTTCCAGGCTCCTTGATTAAAAATTAGTGTTTTTAACACAACCATGGCACTCTAGATTGAAATTTAAAATACAATTTGTTTTTAAGCGAATATGTCAAAAGTTGACATATGATACGTCATTCTATTTAGAATGTCATTTTCTATCGAATAAAGTAAAAAAAATTCCGAGGGTGTCATTTAAAAATCAAAAATTGTAGTCATTTCCAGTGAATCAGGAAGTGACAGAAAACAATTGAATACGTCAATCAATCCTAATTTATGTTATATACTAACATACCAAATCTCATTTTTTTATCTAAAAACATAAAAAGGTAATAAGGGTGAGCCACTTTTGAGACGCACTCGGTAGATATATACGGCGTCGTATAAATTTGCTACCTGCAAGGTATGTAGAAAATTCGCTCGGCTTTTTATCGAGTAGGTCACATTAAAATCGGATTTCAATTTATTTCATTCTAGGATCGCTTGCGTTCGTCGCTTGGTACTCGTCCCTTGCATCGCTCGTTCATAATCGAGCGATGTCGGTTATTTCAATAATCGAGTACTCGGGCGAATTTTCGCTCGAGTGATCCCATCACTAATTTTAATGCCAAAGCGAATAGTGATAAAGTAAATTTCCTTAACAGCCCTGAAATGGTACTTTCCATTAGGGTAGAGAGTGGCGGTACTTCTTTTTGCGTTATAGATATAGTAATTTCAACAAATGAGAATTGAAGCTAGTATTTTTTTGTAAAAAAGTTGCTCTTAAAGACTCTGATATATCGATTTTAGTATTAGCTAAATCAGGAGATTAATTTATTTAAAATTTCTTTGCATTTTATTATTTCATTGATACTAAAATTGATGCATCGTAACCTTTAAACGCAAATATTTTGAAAACCGTTCATCGTTTCGAACTAAATGAAAAGCACCTTTTTATGTTAAAAAGCTCTAGCTTTTATGTAATTTGTTGAAGTTACTGTACCTATAAGGATAAAACAAGTACCACTTGAAGTACTCACTACCCTAATAGAAAATACCCTTTTAGGGGTGTTACGGAATTTTACATGATCGCCATTCGCTTTGGCATTGAAATGTGTGTAAGGGTACCAATCTTCAGAAAAAAATGGTTTCCAACAGGATCGGTCTAACAATTAAATTGATGAATAGATGTTTTTATGTAGTTTTATAACGTTTACAATTATTTTTGGATTTATTTTCTGTTATATCTGTTATAGAAATATTTTTTATAGTTTTCTAGGGCACATTTTTATAACTTTTACAGTTATTTTTTGATTTATTATAAAGTTTCAATAAATATTTTTTTTTTATTTAAATCACATGATTTAAATCATGCCAACACTGGTTTCCAATGTTCTTAAAATTAAACAAAATATATTATTTTTATTTAACCTGTCGAGGGCTGTAACTCCTTCGGGAAGAATTTGAGGCCATATGTTCATAGGAACGTTTTGTTTTAATTTCAACTGATGTAGAATCACCCACCAAATTAGATATACTATTTTAGACACCCTGTATTGTATCTCAGAAACAGGGAATTAAAGAGGGCATGGAGAAGGTAGAGAAATATAAGTACTTGAGATACCTACAAGCTAGAAACATGGACCATAAAGAAGCCAAGAAAATTTAACAAAAGTTTGCTTCTTTTTTAGCTAGGTCGTTTAATTTTTCATTGTCTTCTATCCCTTGGTGGGCTTGGATTAGATCCAACCTGAATTCTGGCAGAAATGGTGCAGAATGTGTGCAGATTCTGCAGGATAAGTGAAGAAACTATGGAGCACGTCATATACTCCTACTCAATTGAGAACAGGATAAGGTTTGAGTTGTTCAATAAAATTTAGCTCAATGAACTTAATGGTAATCATGGTAACATGTCGCCATGTCGCGTTTAGATATTACTACAAATGTTTTGATATCGAGGATAAAAAACTAATATACTTAATCCACAATAGGTTCTTTATAGCCACAGACAAACTTTTTGGTAAAATATGAAATAAAAATGATACAAAATAAATAACAAAATATTTTATATTTAAATTTAGTGGTTACAAAAATGCCCCTAAAATTTAATTAGCACCAATGAATAAATTATTATGAAAGAGCCTATGTGTGCTTAGGCTAGGCTTATGTGAACATAACTTACCACAGATGTTTTAATACGAATATCAGCATATTTTCTACTCAATGGATATGCAATCACAAAATATCTGTCGAATGAAATGGCTGCTAGAGTTACTATCGACGCAGTTCCGCTTAGTCCACCAATAAAACCATAGAGTCTACAAGCTAGAAAATGAATAAATAAAGCAAATTATGTGTATATTTCAAATGAGTTTACCTAAGTCTCCAAGAGCAGGTCCCCTGTTAAAGCTATTATAAATAAATATCGGCATTTTTGACATCATCAAACCATCACTGACAGCTAAATTCACTAATAAGGTGTTGGCTGGAGTCCTTAAAGACTTCTATTCCTAAAAATACCAATTTCTAATGATTGTTAATGGTGGACAATTTAACTATATTATAGTTTTCGTTTTCATTTCTTTTAATAGATTGTTCATTTGATAAGAATTTTCTTAATTAACGTCATATATTTCTATTATATATTAAAATTTTTAAAAAAAAAGCACATTTATTTAGTTCAATGCTACCGAAAGGGTGATAATAGTTATCGAAAAAATGTGGATACTTTAACAACAGCAAAAATATATGACGTTTAAGCAAATTAATATAACCTATCTGTCAAAGCATTGAAATCTGAATTGATTTTTAGGACTTCAAATCTATTACTATGTTTTTGAAAATCATCTCTTACCTCATAAATAGAAATACAACCAGATAATTTCCGAATAAACCCAAGACCATCGCAATAATATACAGAACGGCCAAAATAATAAAGCTCTGACTTTCTTTGGTTGCATCGAATTATTAACCAGGTTATTAATATCTGTCAAATGATCTTCGGTAAAGAAATGTCTCGTCCATTCTTTTACTTCCCATTTGCTTTTAAACTCTTCTATAATTCTGTCAATTGTCGTATTGTCACCTAACTCGTTTCTAGATTTTGAGATGGATATATTGAAACCAGCATCAGAAACAAGTCCCATTTTAACAAGAAGTATATTTTCATGGATGTAGGATAATCTAGAAACGAACTAATATATTAGTATTAATTAAAAAACAATCATGAAATTAGTAACTCAAGTTATCTTGAACAAAAAAATTGGCGCCGGAAGCACATTACTTAGCCATATGCTTGATGTTTTTCTATATCACCAAAAACTGCGACTTTGACTGATGTTGATGCTATTACAAATTTTGTTACAAATATTATTCCTAATCTTAAATTGAAAGAAACTTTTTTTTTTTTTTTTTTTTTTTTTTTATTTGATTTTTTAAAATTTTAACCCCCCTCCGCTTAACCCTCTTAACAACCCCCCACCCACCAAAAACTAATGGCCAAATTCTCAGGTGCCACAGTATTTTATTATAGAATTGGATTAAAATCGGTTTTAGCAGTTTTTGATTTATCGTGTTACAGACAGTTGGACAGACAGACAGATGAATAGACAGACAGACAGACGGCCAGACACCATGAAAATATTATTTTTGTATTTGGGTCATTTATATATGGCCCAAATAACTCAATTTGAGTGAAATTAAAAAACTTTTTTTGCCGATCTTAATAGCCTACCGTACCTGTCGGCAGGGTTGGAAAAAATCATGATTTTTAAAAATAAAAAACCCGGATTTTTTTGAATTTAATTCAAAACAATATTTAAATCGGATTTCCAGATGACTAGGACTTATTTCAAATTAAGGTTCTATATACAATGGATAAAATCTTTATAACACCCGATATCGATAACATTAACGATTCTACAGCGCGTTTGCCATTTTTCCACATCGGCCACCAATATATTTCACAAAAGTCGCTCGCTGGTCAAAGATTTTTCCAAACGTCTCAAAGTATTATTTTTAACCCCTAGGCATAAAAGTGAAAGTACTGTACGCCTAAGCACAAAAAGTACAAAATATATTAGTAAACTTATATTAAATTATCCAATTTCAACGAGTGTACAAATTTTTGCTCGATTACTGTTTATATTAATTACAATGTTTGAAATTGATAAAAATGATTTATAATCTTTAAAAAATAAAAAAAAAAAAAAAAAAAAAAAAAAAAAAAATGTAATTTTTGTGCTTCCTTGTAACGTCGGAATAGCTTTACGATGATCCTTCAAAGGTACAGCATCATCAAAAGAAGTATAATTTTTACTCCTAATAAAACAATACAATATTGTTCGGAAATAGTCTAAGTCGAGAATGAAATTAGTATTATCTAATGTCAAAGTGTAAAATATTTACTGCAGATCAAAATGTCGGTAAGATTTGGGAAAAGAAAACAACCGTTTTCAAAAATATAAAACAACCATATTTCCAGACAACGATTATAAATTCTCGGGAATGAAGATAATATACTCTCTATATCAGAAGAACCTAGATCTGGCACTAGACTGCGAATGATATTTATTCAAACACCGAATTTTTGTCACTTATACATAGAATTTTTAAAGATAGAGATCCTGCTGCTTGCTTGATCTAATGGATTCATTATTGAGTAAGATAGATATTTTTTATATAGTTTATAAACATTTACAATTACTTTTCGATTTATTATCTATTTATATCTTTTATAGAAATATTTTTTTATAGTTTTCTAGGACACATTTTATATTTTTTTTTTTTTTTTTTTTTTTATTTATAATAAAGTTTCACTAAAGATTATTTTTGATTTAAATCACATGATTAAAATTTAAAAAAAAAAATCCTTGATTAAATCACGATTTAAAATAGCCAGTTTAAAATCATTTGATTCCAAATCATGCCAATACTGTCAATTGCATGGTCGGTAAAAGATATACAATTTTTAAGTTGGTTGTAAAGGCGAAGATGTTTTTAGTGTCCCTGGCAGGTGCTAGTGCATACGCCTTTTTACATCCCCTGCTGATGCCCATGACCGCCTTGTTGCAATGTCCTATGGAAAAAAAAATTGGGACTAACATAATCAAGGTATAGTCTATCCAATGAGAGGATCCATGATATAACAAAGAAAAATAATGTCTGGGGTTAAAGGTTTTCTTTTCTGTAAGCTATTGCAACAAGTTTTGTATCCTAACAATTTAATTTTTAATTTTTGTTATTGCGATAGACAGTAATAAGAAAAACAATGAAAAATATTTATTAGGAATTGATGTATGAACTTAATTTATTTCATGTAACTTTAACAGAAAAATGTAGTTTTGTAAAATATATTCCAAGATTCCAATTCTTCTTCATAATGGTAATTCTGAGAATAATGGTAATTCTGAGATATCCCTCTTTATTTTTATTATATCCAAAGAAATGACATTGTGAGCAAAGTTGTCACTTTTCACCCTATGTTTTGAAAAGTTTTAATCTATCTACTAATTTTTTAGAAAGTTAATAAAAGTGGCATTCAAAACTATAAAACTATTTTAAATAAAACAAAAACTTTTGTTTTATTCAGGTCTGAAACCGGAGCTTTTACAGTATACAGGGGTGTCCAAAGGGAAATAAGTATAAATTATTTTTTTAACTGGTATAGTTCAACCCCAGAAACCGGCCTATGAGGTATTTTTTAGGGAAAGTTTTTTAAATTCAAGGGAATTTTTGGAAATATTTTGTGTAAAAATGTATTTTAGTTTTAGTTAAAAAACATAATTTTTTTTTTAATTTATGTCAATGATATTAGGTATTAGATTAGATTTATAAGAAGAAAATCCAGAAAGATCCAGTGATTCTCAAAATTTTAGCAATTTTTTGAAATTTTCAAAATTAAAATAACTTTTTTTTTTTTTTTTTTTTTGAAAAACGATAAGAGAAAATATGTTTCTTTTATTCCAATCCCTTAAAATACTTGCACTTATTTCTGGGACACCCTGTATAGTTAGATTGAAATATTGACAGTGTTAACCTTTTATCACTTTCACTAATGAAAAATTGCTAATAGAAAATTGCTATTTTCACAGAAATATATAAGTAATTCACCGATCATAACTAGCCATGACACTTGATATCGAAAAATTCAGTGATAGATGAAATATCATTCATTCATTGACGGTAATTGTAAACAATCATTATAGACCGAATAAACTCTTCAAACGAGGATATTGTGACACCATCTATCATGGCATGATATTATTATATTAATAACCATATTCTTAAAAGAAACAGGATTTTAGTAAGGAGAAAATATTAACAGATAAATGAATTCATTAACTATTGAGTTTAGGTAGGTATTATAAGTCAAGACAACTGGATACATTCACCTTATTTTGACGCTGAATAAAATAAAATGACTAAAAACCCATTTTATAGTGTATTTAATAGAAATTTAAAATAGTTCAACACAATTACATCAAAACATTTCACTTTGCCATCCCTGATGCAAAATTATCATAAAAAACAATAACTTCAAAACAAAGAATAAAAGGTTTCCATTTTTGGTGCATTTCACCGGTGCCTTGCCCGTATGCTTTGGAGAATATCGTAAACTAGTATATAAAATACACGGTTTTAAATAGCAAGAGTATACGAAAATTTATTAAAAATTATACTAAAAGTGTTAAGAACTATAATTGAGGGCGTCAAGTTGCAAAACTCCCCTTATCCATTTTAAAAAATGCCTAATAATATACATTAATAGTGGACCCTGAAATCAACGTTTTTAGGATAAGGCGAGTTTTACAACTTGATATTCAAGGGAGAATTAATGTGTCTTCAATATTCCTGTGGGTTGCCTATACCTCAAACAGATATTTTTCTTAGATATTTTCATTTACATGATTTTATCTGAGTAAATCTTAATTACATATTTGATAAAATCTAGGTGGCTGTGATATATCTGACGTTACTTCAACTTTTAGCTATCTAATTAGTCCAACTTAAACAACTAGTTATCATTTTGTGTCAGTTAAAAGCAAAACAAAATAACTAAATAAAACCAAATAAAACTTATCCTACATCAGAGTGAATTAATAGCTATGTTAATAGAGATACTTAAATATCTAGTCTGTTTTATGGCGTTATGTGGGAACAATATTTTATGCATAACAGGAACAGCATTTTGGGCATTTGATTTCATCCAGCTATTTTTTGTCCACATAATTTTAGGTTTATATCTAGTTTTAATTCTGTAATAATTAAAATATGTTTTTTATAAAAAAAAAAAAAATCTTTTTATTACCGTTAGTATTTTACTCTACAATCTTTAATTTTTGTTAAATTAACAAAGTGTTTATCTTGCAACATCATCAAAATCATAAAATTAAAAGATATCTAGGAAAATCTTTGTTTTTTTTTTTTTATTTTATTTGATAATGAATTTGAGATATATAAAATTCCCATTGAATACAGGAAAATATACTGGGTGACATTTAAAGATAGGAGTAACTGGCTTTTAAAAGCGACTAATGTTTTATATTAATTTCGACTGACCCTGTTAATTTTCAGGACAAATTCAATTTGGTTTAATATATAATAGTTACTGTAATTAAATATCCGGCTATACAAGGTCAACTTAAATTTAGATGGTTGTTATCGAAATTTGGAATTTACTCAATTTTTTTTTTTTTTTTTTTTTTTAAATATTTCAAAATCCTTAGATTTTAGGTATATAATAAATTATTTTAAAAACTGATAATTGGTACTGTTTTCATTGTGATTTGGTTTAAGATCATATAATTTATATGGGATGTTCCATTACAAACACAATTTTGATTTGTAACTTGTTTTGGGGACACCCTGTATAATTCTATATATTTTATAAAATGCTTTCAGTTAACCTACATAATATGCTCCCAAAATTTCGATTTTCGATATATAAACTACCGTTCTCCTTGGTGCTTCCGCGGCGTATGAGGGCGCCACCACCCTGTATGAGTTTCTAATAAACCTGTGTTCGTAAAAGTCTTGCCGGTACATTTATATTATTCTCTAGTATTGAATTATATTAGGAAAATATAAAATTCATTTACCCGTAAAATCTACAAGATTTTGACAAAAGTCATATTTAGTATTTATATTATTTTACTAGAGTAATATTAATTATTTTAGAAATA